TCCACTTTCTAATAGTCCCTTGAGATGGATATTTTCAAGTATTTCCCCCCTGTTTGTAGGTAGTTTGAGTGAAAGTCCTGTAGTATTAAGCAACTAGACCAGGATCCTTCAGTAAGCAAGTGCTATTTCTGCACTAGATAATTGATATTGCATTCCACTTTCCTTTGTCATGCTTTGTTTTTATTTCAAAAGATAAAAAAAAAAAGAGCTGTAAGAGTTTATCTTTCTAATTTTAGCTTTAGATTCTTCACAGTAAGGTTGGGAAATGCTTCTCATACTTTTACCTGTTTTCTCAAATCTTTTCTCTTTCTATGACTTCATTCTTTTTCATAACTCATTGTTGTATGAAGTTAAGAGCATTGGACTTAAAGTTAGCCATGGTCTTGAGTCTCAGCCATGTCACCCCACCATCAGTGAGACATTCAACAAGTTAATTTTTCTAAGCCCAACTTTTATAACTGCAACATGAGAATGGTACTTATTTCATCAAGTTGCTGTGGTGACAGTTAACTTAGGCTGACATACATAAAGCACTTACTTGGGGAGTGTTTGCTTGTGAGAAGTGGTTCAATAAGGGATTAGAAAGTCATGAGTTTACTACTACTACTGTTATCTTCTAGCCTAGAGTATTCCAATAGTAAGTTGAAAGCAAGGGCACTAAAGAGATGAGCTGGAAAACAAACAAAATATTTATGTAACAACTGTATGAAATAGTATGATGGAACCTCACCATAGTTGAATTACACTCAGGAAAAGTATAAAAGTTTGAATTATACACAGGAAAAGTTCCAAAATAATACTGTGCAGAAGCATGAACAGTGCAAGGTAGAAGGTGCTATAGAAACTATTGTAGAAAAATACCATGTGTGAAAATCCATGACCCTAGTCGTGGGTATTTGATACATACATGTTGAACTGAATTAAATTGGCAACTTTTAGGTCTAAAGAGCTTATAACTCCTGACTCAAGAGAATAACCTGCTAGTTAGAGAAGTCTTTTAAAACTATATATAAAAGAAAGATCTCATCTAGAAGTTCCTTAGACATTCTGGACAAGGAAAAGAATGTTATTTGACCCTATCCAGCAGATATTTTATTAACATTTATTGCAGTTACTATATGCAATTATGTTGGATTCTTTGGATAATTTTTAAGACTAGCCATTACCACGTTATTAACCACTTCTGAAGTGAAAAATGAAACAAACAAGAGACTAAAAGAATACAAATGCTATAAAATAAATTTTTAAAATTTGTGTGGATACTCAGAGGAGGGAAGTATTTTCTAAATTGAGGATCAGGGGAGATTTCAGGGAGGAATCTAGGTTGGATTTTCCCTAGACCTTAGGATCACAAGATGTTCCATGTGTAGAGACTTAGAGGAAAGAGGATATTCTAGGCAGAGAAGATAACTTTGAAGGCATGGAGATGAAAAATTTCAGAACCTTGAATGTAAAAGTGTAAAAGATCTGATTTGGATAGATCACAGGATGCATAATGAGTACCATAGAAGGCGAGGTCAAGGAGAACTGTGTGGGATAGAGGTGGGGGTATCATTAGGGACAGACAGAGGGTGATTTGTTTGAGTAATAAATGAATGAAGAAAAATGACCAAGGACTCAACAGAGAAAGCTTATTACTCTCTGCTTCATGAGAATTGGGACTATGGCTACTTACTTCCCGTAGTACTTGGCATACTAAGTAAACACTCAGTATTTGTTGAATGAATTATTTCAGGATGAGTTTTTAACTCTTTACTATAAAAATATTCAGGCATAGTGTGGCACCTATGGCTCAGTGGGTAGGGCGCCGGCCCCATATACCAACTTTGAACTCGGCTCCGGCCAAACTGCAACAAAAAAATAGCCAGATGTTGTGGTGGGCGCCTGTAGTCCCAGCTACTCAGGAGACTGAGGCAAGAAAATAGCCTAAAGCCAGGAGTTGGAGGTTGCTGTGAGCTGTGTGACGCCATAGCACCTCTACCTAGTGCGATAAAAGTAAGACTCCCATGTAGGTTGAGATTTTAGGAACAGTTGTAGAAACCATGCCTTGGGCAATAGAGAGGTTCCCTGAGTTTCCTATCAGCTCCAAAACAAAGGAGTAGTGATATTGGTACTACTGTTGATGCTAGTTGTAATAATCATTAAAACTTTGAGAACCTGCTGTGAGCCAAGCACTACTCTGTTTATGTGTGTTAACTAAATTAGTCCTCATAGCACCCTTATGTTGTTGGTCCCGTTTGACACCCTGTAGAAAGATTAGATGATTTGTCCAAGGTCACATTGTGACTCACAGAGCATGGATTTGAACCTAGGTGATCTAACTCTAGAATCTGTATCCTCATCCTCTATTTTATACTATTTGTTATACTGTTTGATTTTAGAGCCTTGATGGTTATGGGGAGTTAGACTTAAAGGAGATGGTGCCATAGAAATTATTAAATCTCAGTTCTTTTTACAGCAGTGAGACTTCTCAGGTCTCCAGGCTTCTCATTTACTGTGTGTCAGCTGCATCTCACAGAAAAGGTGATTGTAGTTGTCAGAGATAGTAGATAGGAATTTTTCTAGCCGTGGTGACTCAAGCCATAAATTTGGCACTATTCTTCTTCCAAGGAGCATGAGAGATGAGACTACAAGTCAGTGACAAATCAGTGACATGATTCATTTTCTGCTGAGTGCTGTACTTCCCTGAGGACCAGAGGTTTCACATTTAGGATCAGGTTGGATGACATCCAGCTGAAGAAATACTTAAGGCAGTTAAACTACCATTTCTGTCCCGCCAAGTCATCTAGCATATCCTGTAAGGTGCAGATAGTTGCTTTTTGAGAGATGATAGCAGCTTTTCAAGATACAGTCCTAGAAGACAAGATACTTATTTGAGAAGGAGTCTCGATAGTTTTGATCTTAAATTTTAAATTTTGAGTCTGTATATTGTCTATAATAGGCCTTTTTGGGAGTGCCTTAGTCTTCGTGTGTTGACAATTTTAATGTTCCTTATATGGATTGCTTTTCTAGTAGGACTTTAAATATAGTCGAAATAGGGTTTTCTGTGAAACTTTAGTCATTCCTGAAATTACCTACTCTCTGTGGGATCCATTGGGTATGTTATTATCAAAAGAACTAATGAGCTGTGTTCTCTCTCTATGTTTTTTAAAATTTTTCAGCATGATCAGATATAGAAGTACACTCAGAAAAAAAGTTTTGCTTCCTTCTAGATCTTAGCCAAGAAATTTTTAGCTGACTTGCCTTTAAGTAATATTCTAATTCTGATAAAAGGTGCTGGGTTGTGGTAACATTGATAACCTTAATATGTATATATTGACTTTGTGGAATGGAAAGCATATATAGCCTATATTAAGGCCAGACTCAGTAATAAGATAAGAATGTTATTGTGCTTTGCATTTTTCCTTGGTGGCACCTTTAGTGGTTGAAATGAACAAATGAATAATGAAGATCGATGCCTTATTCTGAAAACAAGTTTAATTATGGTGAAATTCAGTTTCCCTTCATACTCTGACCTTGACAGGCATCAAATAGGATGAGAAATACAGTCTCCTTTTGTTTCTCCCCTTGGCCTTTCTGCTGAGTTCACCTTCCAAAGGGCCCATTAGTTTGACTGATCAGTAATAGCGTAAATGACTTTTCTTACAATACCCACTGCTTATTATTACGTTGACCCAGAGTTCATTTTAATTACATAATACCAATAATAATGATACTTGCTTTTTAAAAAACGGTCTGCATTTGATATAGCTCTTTCTGCTTAGCTGAGTTACTTTCAAAAGGCAAATATAAGGGAAAGTGACTCCATTATCTTTGCTTGTGCACCACTTTGCATAGGGGAGGGAAATTGTCTTGGGAACCCTGGATCTAAGGAGATGAAAGCTCAGTTATTGCATTTTGTAATTAGCAATATAGCAAGCAAGTGGCTGTTTGTGGTATTCCTAGGGTGGTTGGTAGGTTGGAAGTCCTTAGGGGGAATGATGCAGTCTCTTTTGTTTCTCTGAAACATATCATAGGGCACCTGTCAAACTAGAGAGAGAGGAAGGAATAGTAAGGCTGTAGATTAGAGACAATTAATTGGTTGGCTCAAGCTGTATGCCCTACTTTCTCCTACTTTGAGATGGCTATAAGGAAGAATTATAGAACAAAACTAAACAAGTTTTCTTTTACAGCTGCAGCTGTGATCCTCGGCTGTCTGTCGGCATTGAAGGGACCTGATGTTTTACGTTATTGGTATGTTATAGAAAGAGCTTTCTTTGTTATCTTTTTGTTAGGGTTGCTTAGGTCTCTTTTGCCTTTTTGTTTATCCTCATTGCCCTTAATAATACAGCTTGAAATATTTCCACTCATGCCAGAATGTACCTTCACAGAGTTGGCAGCAGAAATTCATTCATTTGGGAAATATTTATTGAGCAATTATAATCAGTGCCAGGCACTATTTACTGTGGGGTTTCAAGTCTGCCTTCAAGGAGTAGGAATTCATAACATGACAGGGAGCTGGTCAAGGAGGAGAAAAGTTATAATAGATGAAAGTACAGGAGTTTGAAGGATCCTAGAAGAGAGAACCCCTAACTCTGATGGGGACTGGGGAGGGCTTCTGCCAAGAGGACATGGGAGGGGAAGGCTCCCAGGTGTGCATTCTTTATGGGGAGAAATGGAGGAAATGCACATTCTTTTTACTGCTTCTGTGGGGGCCCATCACACGCAGGAAGGAGGGGGCAAGGGAACATTATATGTAGTTCATGTAGAACAAGGCTTAGCAAACTTTTTCTGTAAAAGGCCAGAGAGTAAATATTTTTGGTTTTGAAAAATACACCTACTTAGCTCTACAGTGTGGTGCTAGAGACAGTTTGTGAACAAATGGATGTGGCTTTATTTCATAGAACTTTATTTACGGAAATAGGTCCTGGCTGGGATTTGGCCTGAGGGCTGCAGTTGCTGAGCGCCTGGGGTAGAAGTTTCTTCATCCACAGTGGTGGTGGTCCAGCACAGTGTTTCTTTTGCAGTCTTGCAGTGTCATACTGACTTCCTGTACTCTTTGAGAGAGGGCTGTCCTGTTCCTTAATGAGATGTTGTGATGTGTAACAGGCAGGTGGTTTGTGTGTTTTCTCTTTTTCGTAGGCGGAATCACAGTATCTGTGGTTGCATTCTTCTTCACAATTAAGTTCCTCTTTGAGCTTGCTGCACGTGTAGTCAGCTTCCTCCAGAATGAGGACCGTGAGCGTCGAGGGGACCGGACTATTTATGACTATGTGCGAGGAAATTACCTGGATCCCCGGTCTTGCAAAGTCTCCTGGGATTGGAAGGACCCCTATGAGGTGGGCCACAGCATGGCCTTCCGAGTGCATGTAAGGGAATGTTTCTGTCTCCATAGCCATTGGGGTTTCTGAGTTATTTGCTTTCCAGAATTTAGTTCAGTCTGTTGATGGTCCTGGCCTGAAATTTTAACATTTTTGCTTGTTTTTCAGCCTGTCTCAGGAACTTGGGAATTGTTACTGTCTGAAGAGTTACAAATGTGTCTATCATTTTAATAGGTACTTAACTTTGAAGAAGTATAAAGCTTAATGTTAACTTTTGAAATAAGAAAATTGTTACTAAAAAGAGTAGGTGCTTACAGATCAGGGGTTGGCAAATCAGGCCCACCTTCTGTTTCTGCAAATACATTTGTATTGGAACCTAGCCACACCCATTCATTGTGTACTGACTATGGCTGCGTTCACATTTGAATAATTATGACAGTTGAGTAGTTGTATATGGCTCACAAAACCAAATGTGTTTACTAACCTGCACCTTATAGAAAAGGTTTGCTGAGCCCTGCAGTGACTTCTTCACTGTAGCATTAAGCTTAGCTTGAGAACTTGAACCCCTCCTATCCTTGCCTAGTGCTTTAGTGGACTTGGTGTCTGTGCTCCAGGCTGACTTACCTTTAAATTTGGGTTAGCACTTAAAGGGCTGATAAGACCAAGGATGTAGCAATGATGGTTCAGAAATGTCAAGTTGAGGTGGTTATTTTCTTGATTCAGAGTTAATTCTACCCCATCCTCTGAACAAGTTAAGAATTTGCTCATGATTGAGTCGTTTCTTTGGAGTGTTGGGGGAATTGGTTCCTCTGTGTTTCTGTGAACAGGACTATCAGGAGTGGATAGGTCCTGGGATTTACCAATGTGGCCTCTGCCAGCTAATGCCCTTCTCCCCACACTCTTCTCTAGTTACATAGGAGTTGATTTTTTCTCTCCTCTTACTAATAGCTGCCTCTCTTCTCCCCACTGCAGTTATTCTATAAGAATGGGCAACCTTTCCCTGCACATCGGCCTGTGGGACTAAGAGTTCACATCTCTCATGTTGAGCTAGCAGTGGAAATCCCCGTAACTCAGGAAGTCCTTCAGGAGCCCAATTCCAATGTAGTGAAGGTGGCCTTCACTGTGCGCAAGGCTGGGCGTTATGAAATCACAGTGAAGCTTGGTGGATTAAATGTGGCCTATAGTCCCTACTACAAAATTTTTCAGCCTGGTAGGTTCTTTTCTTTTATTTCTCCCTTTGTCTCCATCCCTCTCCCTTATTCTCTCTATCCCTTCTTCCCTTTCTTTTTTTTTTTTTTTTAATATTACCTTTATTGAGATATAATTCACATGTCAGATAATTCATCAATTTAAAATATATAGTTTAATGGTTTTTAAAGTTTACAGAGTTTTTCAGGCATGATCACAGATAATTTTAGAGGATTTTTTTTTTTTTTTTTTTTTTTTGCAGGTTTTGGCCGGGGCCAGGTTTGAACCCGTCATGTCCGGCATATGGGGTTGGCCCCCTCATTCCTTTGAGCTATAGGCATTGCCTATTTTAGAGGATTTTTTGTCACCCCAACAAGAAACTCCATACACATTAGCAGGCAGTTTTTTTTCCCCAGCCCTAGGCAACTATTAATCTACTGTCTCTGTAACTTTGCCCACTCTGGACATTTCATATAAATGTAATCATAAAATACATGACCTTTTGTTACTGGCTTGTTTTATGTAATATGGTGCTTTTAAGGTTCATCCATGCTGTAGCTTGAATTAATACTTTTTATTTTTATTCCCAAATAATATTCACTTGTGTGTGTATACCACCTTTCATTTATCCATGTAGGTCAGTCGATAGACATTTAGGTTGTTGCTCCTTTTGGCTACTATAAATAACCCTGCTAAAAACATTTGTGTACCAGCTTTTGTATAGACATATGTTTTTATTTTTCTGTAAATAGAATTGCTGACTCATCAACCCAGAAAGTTCTTAAGAGATAAGGGTGCCAGAATAGACAAAAGATAAGTCCTTCTGATTTTTGAAACTAAAAGCACCTTGACCCTAATCTCACCATTGCTTCCCATAAGCGTTTTGTCTCTAAAAAATGCCTGCTCAAGGGCGGTGCATGTGGCTCAAAGGAGTAGGGCACTGGCCCCATACATCCGAGGTAGAGGGTAGAGGTAGAGCCCTGGCCAAAAACTGCAAAAAAAAAAAAAAGAATGCCTGCTCAAGCTTCTGATATCTAAGAACTGAGGCTGTTATCTCTGCTTTTCCCCTTCTCATGTCCTTTATGCCAGATAACAGATGCTCACTAATACTGAGGTCTACAGTTATAGTCTCTGATTCTCAGATCTGCAGCTTACATGAGTAGTGTGCTGAGAACCTATCTGCTCTATGTGCCCTGCCTGGCTTCATTTCAAGGGCATAGTTAGGTAATTGGTGTTTTGATATACATAGAAGTAGTAAGACTTTGGGCAGCTTTTGGAGTTAAACCCAGTGAGTAGGGCTTTAAGAAGATTTGTGTATCTTTGCTTCATTAGTTCTGTTTTCTTTTTACAGCAGAGGAAAGCTGTGGACAAAGTGGCTCCCAAGCCATCTCTTTCCCCATGTATCTGTTCCTTTCCTTGAATGCTTAATTCAGAGACCCTTGTCCCCGTAAATTGTCATCACCTCACCTCCTTGCCACCAATGGAGAGCAGTTCATATTCTTATAATGTATCAACCCTTTTATTTAAAAAAAAAAAAGTTTTTTATATTTTTTATTTTTAAAAAATAAAAAATGTGATAATTATATATTCATATGCTGTTGTGAGAAATAATACAGAGATCTGGTATACCCTTTACCCAGTTCCCCCCAGTGGTAACATCTTAGAAAACTGTAGTATAATGTAATAACCAAGTTATTGGGGCTAGGTACAGTGGCTTATACCTGTTATACTACCACTCTGGAAGGCCGAGGTGGGAGGATCCCTTGAGCTCAGGAGTTCAAGGCCAGCCTGAGCAAGAGCAAAACCCCATCTCTACTAAAAATAGAAAAATTAGTTGAGCATTGTAGTGTGCACTTGTAGTCCCCACTGCTTGGGAGACTGAGGCAGGAGTATCACTTGAACTCTGGTGTTTCAGGTTGCAGTGAACTATGATGATGCTACTGCATGCTAGCCTGGGCAGCAGAGTGAGACTATGTCTCAAAAAAAAAAAAAAAAAACAACGAACAGTAATAACCAAGTTATTAACAATGGTATGGTCAAAATACAGAGCATTTTCCATCAACACAAGGATCCCTCATATTGCCTTTTTACCTCCCGCAGTACCTGTTTCTTAACCCCTGGCAACCCTCAATCTATTCTTCATTTCTATAATTTTGTCATTTGAAGAAAATTATATAAGTAGAATCATATAGTATGTAACCTTTTGGGACTGACTTTTATTACTTAGAATAATTTTCTGGAGAGTAATCTAGTTTATTCAATGTATCAGTAGTTGGTTCCTTTTTATTGATGGTACAGGTTGAGTATCCCTCATCTGGAATGCTTGGGACCTGAAGTGTTTTTGGAATATTTACATTTTACTCACCAGTTGAGCATTTCAAATCTGAAAATCCAAAGTCTGAATGCTTCAACAAGTGTCATGTTGACATTCAAAAAGTTTGGGATTTTGGGCTCGGTGCCCACAGTTCAGTGGTTAGGGTGCTAGCCATTTGCACCAGGGCTAGTGGGTTCAAACTCAGGCAGGGCCTGTTAAACAACAATGACAATAACAAAAAGTAGCTGGGCATTGCAGTGGGCCCCTATTGTCCCAGCTACTTGGGAGGCTGAGGCAAGAGTTTGGGGTTGCTGTGAGTTGTGACGCCATGGCACTCTACCCAGGGCAACATTGTGAGACTCTGTTTCAATAAATAAATAAATAAAAAGTTTGGGATTTTAGAACACTTTAGATTGCAGATTTTTGTATTAGAGATGCTAAACCTGTATTCCATGGTGGGAATGTACCACAGTTTAACTATTTGCTCACTGAAGGACATCTGGTTTGTTTCCAGTTTTTGGTTATTGTGATTAAAGCTGCTATAAACCATGTACAGGTTCTGTGTGAATATAAATTTTCATTTCTCTGGTATAAATGCAGGAGTACAATTGCTGAAACATATGATAGTTGCATGCTTAGTTTAAATTGCCAAAGTCTTTTCCAGAGCAGCTGTAGCATTTTACATTCCCACCAGCAATGTATGAATGGTCCAATATCTTCATATCCTTGACAACATTTAATATTGTCATCATTTTTTATTTTAGTCGTTCTGATAAGTGTACAGTGGTATCTCATTGTGCTTTTAATTTGTACTTCTCAAATGATTCATGATATTGAACATATTATTTATTTACATATATATATTGTTTTTTTTTTTTTTTGAGGCAAAGTCTTACTATGTTTGTTGCCCTTGGTAGAGTACTGTGGCGTCACAGCTCACAGCTCACAGCAACCTCAAACTTTTGGGCTGAAGTGATTCTCTCTCCTCAGCCTCCCTAGCAGCTGGGACTATAGGCGCCTGCTACAACGCCTGGCTGTTTTTGTTGCAGTTGCTGTTCTAGCTGGCCCAGGCTGAGTTCCAACCTGCCGGCCTCGGTGTATGTGGCTGGCGCTGTAACCACTGTGCTACAGACACGGAGCCAATGTTGAACATTTTTCATGTGCTTACTTGCCTGCCATCTATATATCCACTTTGGTAAAATATTTCTTAATGTTTTTTGACGATTTCCTAATTGGAACTTTTATTTTTTTTACACAGAGAAGAGTTGAGAGTTGTTTGTATATTCTACTTGGTAATACTTGTTAAATATGTGGCCTGAAAATATTCTCTCCCTATTTGTAGCTTTTCTTTTTATCTTCTTAGCAGGGTCTTTCATGGAGCAAACATTTTTAATTTTGATGAAATCCAATTTATTAATTTTTTTTTCTTTTTTTTTTTTCGAGTCAAAGTCTCACTCTGTCACCTCAGGTAGAGTGTGGAGGCATCATTGTAGTTCACGGCAACCTCAAACTCCTAGATTCAAGCTCCTTGGAGGTAGTGATCCTCCTACCTCAGCTTCCCAAGTAGCTGGGGACTATAGGTGTATGCCACCATGCCTGGCTAATTTTTTCTTTTTTTGGTATAGACAGAGTCTCATTCTTGCTCAGGCTGGTCTCAAACTCCTGGCCTCAAGGGTGCTTTTTTTTTTTTTATAGTCATTCGTTTGGTATCTAAGAACTCTTTGACTGGTCCCTGATCCTGCAGATTTTCTCCTCGATCTTTTTTTTCTTAAAGTTTTATAGGTTTACACTTTATAATTTAAGGTCATGATCCATTCATAGTTAATGTTTGTGAGATATGGGGGAAAAATTTTTTTTTTTTGAGACAGAATCTTACTTTGTCACCCTTGGTAGAGTACTGTGGCATCACAGCTCACAGCAACCTCCAATTCCGGGGCTTAGGTGATTCTCCTGCCTCATCCTCCCATGTAGCTGGGACTACAGGCACCCACCACAATGCTCAGCTATTTTTAGAGATGAGGTCTCTCTATGGCTCAGGCTGGTCTTGAATCTGTAAGCTCAGGCAATGTACCCACCCACCTTGGCCTCCCAAGTGTTGGGCTTACAGGTGTGAGCCACCATGCCCGGCCTTTTTTTGCTTATTGATGTCTAGTTGCTCCACCACCATTTGTTGAAAGGGTTCTCTTTCCTCCATTATGTTGCTTTTGTACCTTTGTCAAACATCAGTTGGGCATAGTTGTAGGAGTCTATTTCTGGAGATCTACTTCTGGATGCTCTGTTCTGTTCATTTATTTATGTATGTCCCCTCTACCATTACTAATGGACAATTGATTACTGTAGCTCTTATAATAAATCTTGTAAGATACGTGATATGTCTTATAATTGGTAAATCGACCTCTTTATACTTTATTCTTCTTTTTGAAAATTGTTTCAGCACTAGCCAGGCGTGGTGGTGCATGCCTGTAGTCTCAGCTACTCAAAAGGCTGAGACAAAAGGATCACTTGAGCCCAGGAGTTTGAGGTTGCTGTGAACTAGGATGACACCATGACAATCTACTCAGGGTGACAGAGTTAGATTAGGTCTCCAAAAAAAATTTTTTTTAGCTATTCTAGTTCTTTTGCCGTTCCTTATAATTTTTAGAATAATCCTGTCTAAAACTATAAAGTCCTGCTGATATTTAATAAGAATTGTTTTAAATCTGCATGTTAGTTTGAGGAAAATTGACATCTGTATTATATTGAGTCTTCCATAAATATGACATGTTGCTCCATTTATTTAGATCTTTTTTGTTGCTTTCATTAGTGTTTTGTAGTTTTCAAAATATAAGTCTTGTATATTAGATTTGCAACTAAGTATTTCATGGTGGGTCTTTTTTTTTTTAAAAAATCATTCAGCACTTATTTAGGACCCACCTTACTCATAGGTTCCCAGTGGGACTCTAGACATCATATCTGTAACTCTTGTTTCTATTTCCTCCAAGTTCTTTACTCATTTTGTTTAATGCTTACAATGGCTCATTTGTAAAAATGAGCTTCAAGAGTTTGTTTGAGTTAATTTTTCTATTCCTTTCCCCCCTTTTGTCTGACTATTAAATAGTATTATTTATTCTTAAATAAATATCTAGGGATCCAGCTACTCAGCAGTCATTGAGGAGATCTTTGTGCTCCAAAGAACACCTCTCTATTTTTTTTTTAAGTAAATTTATTTCAGGTTAATGTGAGGGTACAAAAAAATCAGGTCAAAATATTTGATTTCATTAGGTAGAGTACCTCTTATTTTTATGTCCCACACACAAAATGTGTGCCATCCACACCCCAAAGAAAAATACCTCTCTAAATGTTAGATTCTATTGTCTTTATTCCAGGAATGGTGGTTCCTTCTAAGACCAAAATTGTGTGCCATTTTTCGACTCTTGTGTTGACCTGTGGGCAGCCACACACTCTACAAATAGTGCCCCGAGATGAGTATGACAACCCTACCAACAATTCCACATCTTTGAGAGATGAGCACAATTACAGTCTGTCCATTCATGAGGTAAGCAGCCTCCCTTCTCTGTGTACTATGAAGAGAAGGCTCTTTTCTCTGTCATTCTCACCCCTTCTTGTTTATTATTTCCATCTCTTGTCTTCTCGTCCCAGTCTCGTGTGCTGTCTATATCTTCATCTGACAATACCTGTCTTATTAGGAATTATGAGACTTAGATTGGATCATAGGTAGGGAAGTTCTTAGTAAAGAGTAAATTGTCTTGGGCAGCGCCTGTGGCTTAGTGGGTAGGGCGCCAGTCCCATATGCCAAGGGTGGTGGGTTTAACCCGGCCCTGGCCAAACTGCAACAAAAAAGAAAAAAAAAGAGTAAATTGTCTTGTAAGTAGGGAAAATGTTATATGTTAAGTAATGCTTTGTTTTCTTACTGCAGCTTGGCCCTCAAGAAGAAGAGAGTACTGGTGTCTCATTTGAGAAGTCAGTTATGTCCAACAAGCAGACTTGCCAGGTGTTTTTGAGACTCACGCTGCATTCTCGTGGCTGTTTCCATGCCTGCATTTCATATCAAAATCAGCCAATCAATAATGGCGAATTTGACATTATTGTTCTAAGTGGTGAGTTGAAAGAAAAGATGTGATTAGTCCTATTTCCTGGTCAGTTCTTTGCGTGACCTCATAAACATTTGTTATTTAAGCCATGGTTGTCTCAGTTCCTATGGTCCAAAGGACTATTGATAAGCAATTTATTTTCTCCCCTGACTCCTACTTTAAACCTTATTCCTTATTATACTTCAGAGAATGAGAAGAATATTGTCGAACGCAATGTGTCCACCTCAGGTGTGAGCATTTACTTTGAAGCTTATCTTTATAATACCAACTGTACCAGCACTCCTTGGCACCTTCCACCCATGCACATGAGCTCTTCCCAGCGTCGACCCTCCACAGCTATAGAGGAGGAAGATGAAGATTCGCCCTCTGAGTGCCACACTCCTGAGAAAGTGAAGAAACCGAAGAAGGTGTATTGCTATGTGTCACCAAAGGTTGGAGCTCCCCTTTTTGCCTTAAAATCCCTTTGCCTGAGCCTGTTTGTAATTGGCGTTTGGTAATAGAAACCACAAACTAGCAGTCTAAGTATCAGAGCAAGATGTTGACTTGTAAGGTTTCTAGAACACTAAGTTAAGCAGAAGATTGTGCCACTTACCCTGCTGGAAATTTGGTTTTGATGAGATTAAATCTCCATTTAAATAATCTATGTGCCTTTTTGCTTTAGAGCACCTGTGTCATTCCATCCTTTGATTGGTTCTGGAAGATTTTTTTAAAGTTGGCTCCTTGTGCTATACTGAAACAATTTGATCTTTCATTCTATGACTCATGAAACCACTATAATGGATGTCACTATGAGGCTACAAGAATAAAGACATTTTGTCAGAGAAAAAAGGTGAACTTCCCAAGCCCCTGAGCTAAGAGGAGCTTTGTGTTAGACGTTTTTAATATTTGTATTTTCTTATTCATTCAGTCCTCATAAAAATGAGATTCTGTTGAAACATCTCATTACACACCCCTTTAATCTCATAACCAAAACCGAGTTCTAATTTTGTTCTACTTCAACACACTTTGCTATTGTATCATTCTTCATTAAAAACATCTAGCCTTGGGGCTCCGTGCCTGTAGCTAGTGGTTAGGGTGCTGGCCACATACACTGGGGTGGTGGATTCAAACCCAGCCCAGGCCTACTAAACAACATTGACAACTACAACAACAACAAAATAATAGCTGGGCATTGTAGCAGGCACCTGTAGTCCCAGCTACTTGGGAGGCAGAGGCAGGAGAATCGCTTAAGCCCAAGAATTTGAGGTTGCTGTGAGCTGTGACACTACAGCACTCTACCAAGGACTACACAGTGAGACTCATTCTCTCAAGAAAAAAAAAGCCTTGCCTTACTCCTGTAATCCTAGCACTCCTGTAATTCTTGGGAGGCCAAGACAAGTGGATTGCTCTAGCTCAGAAGCTTGAGACCAGCCTGAGCAAGAGTGAGATCTTGCTCATCTCTACTAAAAATAGAAAAAGTAGCTGGGTATTGTGGCACATGCCTGGAGTCCCAGCTACTCAGGAGGCTGAGGCAAGAGGATCTCAACCTCAACCCAGGAGTTTGAGGTTGCTATGAGCAATGATGATCCCACAGTCCTCTACCCAGGGAGACAGAGTGGTGAGACGGTCTCAAAAAAAAAAAGAAACATCTATCCTTAATTTAGGCTGGGTGGGATGGGAATGAGGCAAGTGGGTGGGGTGGATAAATGAAACAAAATTGGCTATAAGTTGATAATTCTTTTTTTTTTTCTTTTTGAGACAGAGCCTCAAGCTGTCACCCTAGGTAGAGTGCTGTGGCATCATAACTCACAGCAACCTCCAACTCCTAGGCTTAAGCAGTTCTCTTGCCTCAGCTTCCTAAATAGCTGGGACTACAGGCTCCCACCACAACACCCGGCTATTTTTCGGTTGTAGTTGTCATTGTTTGGCAGGACTGGACTGGATTCGAACTTGCCAGCTCTGGTATGTGTGGCTGGCGCCTTAGATGCTTGAGCTTCAGGTGCCAAACCAAGTTGATAATTCTTGTTTGTTTGGGGGTTTTTTTGCAGTTTTTGGACAGGGCTGGGTTTGAACCCACCTCTGGCATATGGGGCCAGTGCCCTACTCCTTTGAGCCACAGGTGCTGCCTAAAGTTGATAATTCTTGACCTGTGATGAGTTCTTTGTATTGTTTTCTCTTCATTAGTATGTGTTTGGCATTTCCTTACTGAAGTAATTTAAAATCAAGAAAAAGAATCTGACCTGCTGCACATTCAGATAAAAGGATTTTTTTTAAGGTTTGAAAATTATTGTGTTGTCTTTTCCTCTTTTGTAAATGGCATAAGGAGACTCTTCTTTATTTTATTTTATTTTATTTTTTTTTTGAGGCAGAGTCTCAAGCTGTTACCCTGGGTAGAGTGTTGTGGCGTCACAGCTCCCAGCAACCTCCAACTCCTGGGCTTAAGCGATTCTCTTACCTCAGCCTCCCAAGCTATAGGTGCTCGCCACATTGCCTGGCTGCTCTGGCTGCAGTTGTCATTGTTGTTTGGCAGGCCGGGGCTGGATTCGAACCGGCCAGCTCCGCTGCGTGTGTCTGGTGCCTCAGCCGCTGAGCTACAGGTGCTGAGCCAAAACTCCTCTTCATTCTTATATGAGGTGTTTTTATGAACTTTTTTGTGTGAGATCCCTTCTACCCTGAGTCCACTGCCCCCCACCCATCTTTCTACCTTTCCTCCCCTGGCACATCCTTAGTACCATTAAAATAGGAGTAAAGCAGTGAGGATGGGCTGCTGGTAGCCTCTTTCCACTGAGTCGAAAGAAGTCAATCTGAGCAGCATCTGGCTGAGCAGGAGATTTTGATTGCTATTAGGTGCAATTTCTACCCATAACGTGAAAACCTGATCTCAGATATTGAGAAATTGTACTAAGACTTGAGTATTAAGATTATGAGGTTTCTCTATGTGAAATGGCAATGTCAGAGTAGTAGGTTTAATTTGCCTTTTAAAAGATGTAGTTGGCATATTTATTTGATTTTAGTATTGACTAATCCTCATTTTTATCCATGAAGGAAAAGGGTTATCATGAGATAGGTAAATCGGGACTATCATATTTGAATTCTAATACCCAAATAGAGCCATCTTACTTATCATTCACTTCCTGTTCTGTATGTTGGTCCTCCAGCAATTCTCAGTGAAGGAGTTCTACCTGAAAATCATCCCCTGGCGCCTTTATACCTTCCGAGTATGCCCAGGAACAAAAGTAAGTGGAACCTTACCTCTGGTTTATGCTGAGCAGGCTTCAACTCTGGAATGTGTCAGCCTTTTCTTTTTCTCCAGAAAATGCTTTGGTGTTTCTGGAAATTCTCACTGTGCATACAGGATTCATTGCCCATTAAAAAAGAGGTGGTTATTTCCTCACTAAGTGGCATGAAGAATATATAAATTCTAGAAGGACACGTGCCTACAGAAACAGGAATTGGTAGCAACTCAGAATACTTCAATAGCTATTCTCTGTTTCCCAGACTAACTTAATAGAAAGCTAGTGGTAACTCTGACCTAGCCGTGGTCTCCCACTGTGCTGAAGGTAACTCTTTTAGAAACAGCTTTCTTGTATATTAAAAATAAATGGTTTTCTTAACTTTTCTGGGCTTTTGAAATCTAAACTTTTGCTAGAAATCGAAACAAAGGCTTGAATATGTCATTTTATGAAAATCATTTTCCTGGAGCCAGTTTGGAGTAGTCATTCCTTGCTATTCTTCCTCTTCTCAGATGTTCTGTTGGAAGGTCTGTAGTGTTGCCTGTGATCCTCACTAAAGGCAGTCTCTGTGACTAAAATAACTTACAATTTGAATTATAGAGCACTGAGGTGAAATAAAAGGAGATGTATCCCTGGTAGGTACTCACTTGGAGAGAAAACAGGCTTACTTGTTTTTATTGATTGGCACAGAAGGGTAGGGATGTGGAGAGTTTTGCTGGGTTTGAGGGGTTTGTAGAATAACTCTTTTTTTTTTTTCTTTGCTAGTTTTCCTACCTTGGCCCTGACCCTGTCCATAAACTCCTCACATTGGTGGTAGATGATGGCATTCAGCCTCCTGTGGAGCTCAGTTGTAAGGAGAGGAACATTCTAGCCGCCACTTTCATCTGCTCCCTCCATAAGAATATAGGTGAGGCTGAACAGGGATTCTGATGGGGAAGTGACCTGAGCCACCCTGGGTACATGAGGGTATGAAAGTGGGACTCCATAGATGTCTTGTAACAAGGCAGTAATCATGATGGATCTTGCTGCTCTTCAGGAGGCTCTGAGACCTTTCAGGACAAGGTGAACTTTTTCCAGCGAGAGCTTCGGCAGGTACATATGAAAAGACCACATTCCAAAGTCACCCTGAAGGTCAGCAGACACGCCTTACTGGAATCGGTGGGTAGATTTCCATTTCTGTCAGCAGATGCCAAAGTTTTCCACCTAAGAGCCTCTAGCATTTGGTCACATTCTGCAGCTTATCTTTTTTATGAAACCTAAATTTCTTTCTTTAAATATATCTGTAAAAGACTGTTATAATACTACGCGTTTAGGGCAGATTTGTTAAAGATATGTTGTTTAGGGAAGAGATTGCTTGACACATTGGCTTTCAAATTTACCAAACTTGTTCCTGAACAGTCTCGTGGAACTCTTATGCAGAGCAGGTGTAAGTAGTGGTTACAGAAGAAAGTTCTTGTTATTGAATCCCTGGAATAGAAGAGCGCTTGTTGGATTAAAAGGAAATGATTTTTGTTGTCACTTTGGTCTGATGGAAAAGGAACACCTGATGTGTGTCTGTCTCCACTGCACAGACACTGGCGTACTTCCTACATTCCCCGAGAATGAGAAGGGTTGGGCCCTGTCCAGAAAGTGTTTGTGATCTTTGGCTCTGGTAGGTGTGACTGGAAACCCCTTTTCTCAGCCACATTCTCTGTGTGGCATGGCTCCCTGTCTGAACCTAGCCTTGTGGATAAAGATGTCTAGTGGATAGACTATATTTTGCTGAAAACCAGGACTCCTTAGTTCTCTCATAGTTTACTGACTTGAGCCACTTTTTACTTCTTTATGTGAAAGTTTTTTCATTAATAAAATGAGAGTTATTAAGGAAAAAAAGAGCAAACAGCTGCAACTTTCCAACAAATGATTATGTAAAGGCATATCAGATTATTTTTAAAACTTTAAATTTCTTTTGGAGCTAAGTGTATTTTAGATATAAGGTATTATTAAAGCTTATTTATGAATAATCTGTCTCTTCCAAATAGTAGTGGTTAATTCAACAGACAATGGCAATGCTCATGTGTTTTTTTCTTTAACATCCAAGGGATGTTAGTATTCTGACAGTTCCCTTCCTTTCAGTCTCTGAAAGCCACTCGGAATTTCTCTATCTCAGATTGGAGCAAGAACTTTGAAGTGGTTTTCCAGGATGAAGAAGGTCAGTTTTGAAATTTACTTTGTATATTCATCTTTTTAACTCTCTTCCCCACTCTCACCCTCTCTCTTACTCCTTTTCCATAAAAAACAAAACAAAACAAAATAAAAAACTCCCTCCCTTCCCACTGCTCCCTATGTCCCCCCCCCAACTCAATATCTTTTTCCAAGGGAAAAAGAAACCATGAATCAAGACAAAAGGAGAGTGTTTCCTGACCAGCTAGCATGAAGGAGCTTGTAGAGCAGACATGTGGGGACTTAGAGGGAGGACTCTTAAGAGTTTGAACCAGAAGGGCAAAGTAATTTTGATTACTTTGAGAGAATTAGCCATTTCCTGGGATTTCTGATCTGTGTTTCCACACTGGAGGGCATTAGCTTAGTCATCAAAATACATTTAATCCTACAGAGAAGGGTGGAATTTCAAAAAAAGTCCACAGTTTGGGTGAGTGGCAATGGGGAAACATTAAGTTAGTGGAATGGAGGGAATGTGGAGAGTGTCAAATGATGACTGAATGAACAAAAGTGATAGGAGGTAGGCCAGAGTCATGTTTAATTCTCATTGTACTTTTTCAGCTCTGGACTGGGGAGGGCCTCGGCGAGAATGGTTTGAGCTAATCTGCAAAGCCTTATTTGACACCACCAATCAGCTCTTCACCCGGTTCAGTGACAACAACCAAGCATTAGTGAGTCTATGACTTCCCCATGAGTGGGTGGAAATGGGGATTATAGGGATTATGTTATAATGGGTAGGCTAACAAAGGTTTGAATTTATGAAACTTTTCTTAATTTGAGCTAATCATATTACCTCCCTCCTCTTTCCCTTACTTCATCTGTAAAATAAGAGAAAATGTAGATAGATGAATATGTGTCTAAGAAGCATTATAGCATAATGGCTAATCAACTAATTAAGCCACTTTCTCAAAACATAGCTGAAGCAATTGATTTCTGTAGTACATCTTTGATTATGTAGAGGTGTTAGAAGTAGAGAAGTAGACTAGCTGAAAGAACTTCTGGTTTACGGAAAAGGTATCACATTATCCACTAACTAAATTCCATACTCAGCCAGGGACCACAAACTTAATATATGAGATTCTTCTACTTAACGGAAGTTCATCTTTGCCCTTTATCCTCCAATCACTTCAAATTATTCCATGGTGGCTACCAAAAGACTAATGTCATTGGATAGGCTCTTTGATTCTCACACTGAAATTCTTGCTTCCTTGGCCTGGAGTTGGGAGGGAGGGTCTTTTGTAAAACTAGGCTTAAAGAAAAATGTCCCTGGACCTTTCAATTTTTTTCTTGGATAGGTGCATCCCAACCCTAATCGCCCTGCTCACCTGCGTCTGAAGATGTATGAGTTTGCAGGGCGGCTTGTTGGCAAGTGTCTTTATGAGTCCTCTCTAGGAGGAGCCTACAAGCAGTTGGTTCGAGCTCGCTTCACCCGTTCTTTCCTGGCCCAAATCATAGGACTGCGTATGCATTACAAGGTAACGTCTTGAGTGTGCATTTTCTACTGAGGTCCCATAGCCATTAAGTCTGGAATCTCTTCACCTGAGTTTTTAATCTTAAAGTAGAAGAAAATGTGGTTCCAAGCAGTTACAAATTTCATTTCTGGGCAAGAGAGTTCATATTCTATTCTGTATCTTTCTCTTTCCCCAGTACTTTGAAACAGATGACCCAGAATTCTACAAATCTAAAGTTTGTTTTATCCTCAACAATGACATGAGTGAGATGGAGCTGGTCTTTGCAGAAGAGAAATATAACAAATCAGGTCAATTAGATAAGGTGAGAAAGTGGACCAAACGCTGTGGGTCTCATATTCTCTAGCTTTCTCTAGAGCAGCACTGTCTAATAGAACTTAATATAATAATGGAAATGTTCTGTATTTGTGTTTTCTGTTAAGTACCCAAAAATGTGGCTGATGTGACCAATAACTGAATTTTTCATTTTATCTTACTTTAATTATTTTAAATTTAAATGACTGCACTTGGCTAGCAGCTGCCATATTGGGCAGCATCCCTTTAGGGCATTGCATCCCACACTTTATGATCTCAGCCTATTTGAGGGAAGCAAAAAACACATGTGCCCATCTAGCCCACTCATTTCTACTCCAGTCAAAAAGGAATGGAGTGATAATGAAACGTTATTGTACTAGCAGATTTGGCAGAGATGGCAGTGTCTAGATCAATAATAGCAGTGGTGATATAGATGATTTCTATTTTAACACAATGCCTATGCATTTCAAAACGTTTTATTAGAATATTATTGTTCAGAGATACTTCTCATGCAAATGTGCTTCTGTTTACATTGTGGGGTTAAACAGTATCAAATGATAATGATGAAGCTAAAGTTACAGTAATATAGAATTAAGAGCAAAATAGCAGTGATTGAAAATTGTGACCACTGGTACAGCTCTAGTAATAAACAGATATCCCTTCTGAAAGTTATGGGAATCCCAGCTGTCTGCCTTATAAGCCAGTGAGAGTTGGTAGAATACTGATTAGACTCCTTAGTCCCAAGGGAGTGCTCATTTTAATGGAGCTTAATGTGAATACTAAATCTCACTAGGTAAATACTAAATACTAAATTTATTTCTTGGGCTACTAGATAGAAATGCTCAGTCACATAAAATAAAAATCTAGAATTGTTAGGCAGAGCGCAGTGGCTTACACCTATAATCCTAGCACTCTGGGAGGCCAAGGCAGGTGGATTGCCTGAGCTTAGGAGTTCAAGACCAGCCTGAGCAAGAGTGAGACCCTGTCTCTTAAAAAAAAAAAAAAATAGCCGGGCGTTGTGGTGGGCACCTGTAGTTCCTGCTACTTGGGAGGCTGAGGCAAGAAAATAACTGGAGCCCAAGAGATTGAGGTTGCTATGAGCTATGCTGCCACAACACTCTACTGAGGGTGACAAAATGAGACTCTGTTTCAATAATAAATACATAAATAAAAAAAATCCAGAATTGTATCTAAGTATAATAAAAAAAAGTTTTATATTTTTAGATCCATTGAGAATCCCTGTGGTAGACTAACATGCTATTCCTACCATGCTGTCAGGATTTTTTTTTTTTTTTTGAGATAAGAGTCTCATTATTGAGATCACTATTGAGACTCACTATTGAGTCTCACTACAACCATTTTTTGGTTGTAGTTGTCATTATTTGGCAGGCCCAGGCTGGGTGCAAACCTGCCAGCTCCTGTGTATGTGGCTGGCACCCTAGCCGCTGAGCTACAGGTGCTGAGGCTGTCATGAGGATCTTAAAATCTGGTCCTGTAACTTCACTCACCTATGGAAACAACCTTGGTCACTGTATATAGATTTTCAGCATGGCGGTTTTAAACTGTGCCTCAGGGTTCCCTCCAAGTTGCTTTACCAGTTATTGAGGAATGCCAATTCTATTTGAGGATCATATAGCTTGTTCAGCTTTTTCTTTGCAGGTAGAAAATTGGAGGTTCAAATAGCTAAGTGACTGAAGGTCTGTAGCAAGTTAGCTATCAGGATTGGGATTAGAATCTACTATCTCTAAGTTTTAAGCTGTGGCTCTTCCTTTTGGCTGACATTAGGGATAGAAGAGTGAGGGGAACAACTGTTCCCACCTAGAATTTCTGAGCCATAAGAAGACTGCTTCACTACTGACTATTTACTCTCACTTGCTCAGAGAAGAAGTCAGTAGTAGTTTAATTTTGGATCATTTGGATTAAAATAATCATAACATATTCCTGTCGCATCACCACTACTTAATCGGGTCAGTGGAAAATCTCACCCATTTTGGAAATAGTAGCTGGTAGAATATGGCAATGGTAGTAGGAACCCTAAAGCTTAGTAACTAACTGAAAGCAACTGGGTTAGAAAGCTGTATGCACAGCAGAAATTTGTGATTGGCACTGATGGAGTCAGTAATGTTGTGTTTGTAGAACACACCAAGCAGATATCATCTTATAAAATTCCATCCACAGCCTCTCTGTGTCTTTTGTGTCCTATTTCAGGTTGTAGAACTCATGACTGGTGGAGCCCAAACCCCAGTAACCAATGCAAATAAAATCTTCTATTTAAATTTGCTGGCCCAGTATCGGCTGGCCAGTCAAGTGAAAGAGGAAGTGGAACATTTCCTAAAAGGTAGGATCCTGTCTACTCTTGTCCTCGAAATTAAAATACCTGTATTTTAAGTGGTGTGGCCTGGCTTTAACTTGGCTGCTTTGTTTCAGGCCTAAATGAGTTGGTCCCTGAGAACCTGTTGGCTATTTTTGATGAGAATGAACTTGAGGTAAGTGCTTACAATTCAAACTGCTCCTATTCTTCCACCCTGGTGCAGCTTCTGTTATGAGGTGTAGCAGGACAACCCTTCATGCAAGAGTTTTCGCTTTTGTTACTCTTCTATTCACTGACCTTTTCTTTAGCTTCTAAAAACTTAGGATGTGAAAATTGGAAAACAGCAAATAACTATTTATAAGAGCAGTAAATATTCACTTATTCATCAAATATTATTGATACAGGTTGAATAGTAAAGCATGTTAGTGCCAGGTACAGTCTTCATAAACTTCCATGACATTTAAGGGAATAATATTATAGAATTTATTTGTTCAGGTGTATATTGAGTGCCTCCTGTATGTCATATATTAACACACAGCCTCTCTCTGTGTGGCTCTCGGGAGATAGCACTGAGTAAGACAAAGTTTCAGCCTTCCTGGGCTATATTCTAGAGAAGGAGACAAGCCAAAAGATGTGAACGTATTTCAAAGTGTTGGACCACAACACTATATTGTATATGTTTTTATTTTATTTTTTTAAAGACAGGGTCTCTTTCACTCACTTGCTAGGCTGGAGAGCAATGATACATTCATAGCTCATTGCAGCCTTGAACTGCAGGCCTCAAGGGATCCTCTTGCCTCAGCTTTCCAAGTAGCTGGGATGAGAGGTACATGCCACCACACCTGGCTAATGTTTTTTACTTTTGTAGAAATGGGGTCTTGCTATGTTGTCCACGCTGGTCTCAAACTCCTGGCTTCAAGCAATCTTCTTGCCTCAGACTTCCAGTACAGGTATAAGCCATGTGACCAGCATATTTTTAGGTACTATAACAACCCAAAACAGCACACATCAGGTGTGGGCAAAGAATAAAATCAGTCTGTGTTTAGCTACCTCAGATGCTACCTCTGTGCAACATGGTACAATGCAAGTTACTAGTTTTAATTTCCCATAGCTTTTATGAGGAGTGTGTTTCTGCAAACTCTTTCCTTTAGGGAGGATGGTTTTTCTTTCAAAATGGGGGTTGGGGAAAGTATCAGGTGGTCTTGTGTAATTTTTTTTTTTTTTTTTGAGACAGAGTCTCACTTCATTGCCCTCGGTAGAGTGCCATGGCTTCACAGCTCATAGCAAACTCAGACTCTTGGGCTCAAGCGATTCTCTTGCCTCAGCCTCCCGAGTAGCTAAGACTATAGGCGCTGCCCCAATGCCCAGCAATTATTAGCCACGGGGTCTCACTCTTGCTCAGACTGGTCTCGAACCTGTGAGCTTAGGTCACCCGCCCGCCTCAGCCTTCCATAGTCCTGGGATTACAGGTGGTCTTGTGTAATTTTTATTATTGTTAGCTGAACCAGCTTGGAGAACAGAATCAAAATCTTGTGTAATTTTCATCACATTTTGTACCTTCAGATATGAAATCAAAGCAAGATGAACTCTCCAAGTCTCAGCCTGAAGTTTCTGATATACCTATCAGTGCTTTAATTTTGGGGGTTGAGGAATAGCCCCCCAAACATTTATATGTTTATTATATTGATGCATATTATCTAGAACCAAAGCATTTGTAATAATTTGTAAGAGAGAGTAGAAAGGAAGGACGTAGTCTTTTGTAGTTGTTCCACATTCTGCTCTTTGTTACTTATTAGCTTAGCAAGTTCTTTTTGAAGGAGCCAAGGCTTTTCAAGCTTAGTTTGGGCTTTTCTTGTCTCTTGACTAGACTGTATCATTCTTTATAGCTATTGGATGAGTACTCACAGTTTGCTAAGTAACATGCTGGATCCTGAACCAAATTAGGACATCAACAAGATGTTTAGGGCTCTGATGTCATTAATGTTCTCATTTTTTGGCATACTTTTAAATTTATCTGATCAAGTAGAGGCAGAGCTAAAGGGAAGGTGGTAAAAGTTCAGTCCACGAAGGATGGATGCTAGGAAAAGGCCATTTGACACATTCATAAAGGGAGCTGAGGGTCTTCATCAAAGGCTTGCCTGTCCTCCCTTGTGTCCCCATGCTAAGTTCAGAGCAGACTGTCAGTGAACACTTGGATTTAGGGTTTGGGGTTTTTTTTCCTTTGTCCCTCATTTCAATTAAAAATAATCTATAGCAGCAGTTCTTAATTAGGGTGCTCATTCAAAACACCTGGAAAACTTTCTTTACACGCTCAGAGCCCATTCCTTGAGATTGTGATACAAGAGGTTTGTGGTAGGCCACAGACATCTATATTTTTTTTAAAAAGTTCTGTGATGTTTTACCCTACTGGTTAGTAGCCATTGGCCTCTGTATGTAATTGATTTTCCTAAAACAGTATTCTGTCTTGCTGGTGTTTTCTTTATTTGGCATTCTGCATGTTATCATAGGTAATTTTGACCTTGTAGCAGGTCTTTGATCCTCTGACTCTTGTAGTCACACTCTCTGTTTTTCTGTAGCTGCTGATGTGTGGGACTGGAGACATCAGTGTATCTGACTTCAAAGCCCACGCAGTAGTTGTTGGTGGCTCATGGTATTTCAGAGAAAAGGTAAGTGGACCAAACTAGTTTCAGTTTGATTGTGCAAGGCTTTAAGAAAAAGTTTTAGAAGAAAGAAGTGAAAGAGTCAAAGAAATTGGCATTTTGAGACAGAAAGATACACATGGGAAAGATAGGTGATTGTCCAGGCAGAAGGGAGCTCTGATCTTAAGGGCTGTCATGCTGACTGCCACAGGAGTAGTAAATTAGAAATGCAAAGAAACAGAACCAGGAGATCAGTGACTGTCCTCCTGAGAGCATGACAATGAAAGTTCCTGAAGAGGTTGTCAACTATTCCTCCCTATGTCCTTGTAGAACTGTAACTGGGGTATAGCCCCTCATCAGGGTGTCTTGTCCCTTGCCCCAGGGATCAAGTCCCACGCTGTGGACTTTGTGTGATCCTTGCGTTCTCTCTGCCAGGTCATGAGGTGGTTTTGGACTGTGGTTTCCAGTTTGACCCAGGAGGAGTTGGCTCGGCTACTTCAGTTCACAACAGGCTCCTCTCAGCTACCACCTGGAGGCTTCGCCGCCCTCTGTCCCTCATTTCAGATCATTGCTGCTCCAACCCATAGCACGCTACCTACTGCACACACATGGTAGGTATTGCACTGCCGGGGGGATGCCTAGGGTTCTGGCAGTATGAGTTAATCTCTTCTCCTTACCCTTCCAGTTTTAACCAGCTGTGCCTCCCTACGTATGACTCCTATGAAGAGGTGCACAGGATGTTGCAGCTGGCCATCAGCGAGGGTTGTGAGGGCTTTGGCATGCTCTGACCACTCTCCTGCCATCTACTTGGCTCTCATGCTCTCTGGAGCATCCAAGCACACATTACAGACATCATAACCACTGGCTCTGACACTCATAACCATCAGCCAGAAGATGCTACATGTTCTCCTGTGTTTGGAGTACTTTGTCACCTACAAGCCTTGTCCTTACCTCACCCTCTCCCTGCCCATGTCCACCACAGGCCACTTTGGTAAGCTGAGCTCTCCATTCAGTTATGAGAAGAGGACTGCACCATTGTCATTTCATTTGGTTGCTTGAAGAACTCAGTAGCTGAGGGAGATTACACACAGAGCTTGGCTGTGTTGGGAAGCTGCTGTGCAGTGAGCCTTAAATCCACACCGTGCTCCACCTCCCTCTGCAGATGCTTCTTGGAGGTGCCCTCTTTGGCCCTTACTACTTAACCAGACTGGTACATGAGTCTTTCTTGTGGGTAGGATGATCGCTTCTCCTAATCAGGAGCCAGGAGAGGCACAGATAGGAAGTGGCATGTGAGCAGTCTTTGGTTTTGTCTCCCTGCACAATGGCAGGCACAGGCCGTGGTACTGGACTACCTCTAAGGAGGACTGATAGCACAAAAGGATCTTTTTTTGTGGTGTCAGAACTGGAAAAGGCATTTTCCCTTCAGGCATTTCTGGAAATGATTATTAACCATAACGCAGAACTCTCTAAGCTTTTTCTTGAGTTTTAGCCAGTGAGAAAAGCAGATAGATTGAAGAATGTGAAGGATAGCTGAGCCGTGGCCCCCAGTGCTTACTCTGATTCTCTTTTAGGGTGAGGGGTCATGTCTAGGCACTTGACTACTGGATGCTTTTCCCTTAGTTTGTCCTTTGGGCTGAGGTGTGGCTGTGCAGGACCACTGACCTCCACGTTAAGTGGTCTGCAAAGAACTTAATAGAGAAAGTTCTAAAGAAAATTTTGTAGCAAAAGATTGAAATAGTAAGAATAGCACGCCACCAATCCCTGATTCTGTCTGTGCTTGGCATACTCTGGTGGCACTAAGACAAAGGAATGGGGATCAGGAGTTTAAGTTCTTATCACAGGCCCCTGGGGTCAGGACACTGGGGACAGATGATAGGCTGGACAGTAAACATCTGGCCATCCCCCATACATGTACTTCCCTTCACTCCGTCAGTTACCAGGAAGGAGAACTAAGGAGGGAGGAAGCTGTACTAGGTTCCCCATGCAGTGACGATTGAAGAGTACCTGCTGCTGTCTCTTGGAAGATGACAACACCCTTTTCGTTACTGTTTTAATGAAAACAATTTCAAGCCTCAAAATCTCATCGACTTCCCAGATTTCTGTTTTCAAGAAGGCTTTGTTGCAAGCTACCATTCCCAATGGGGCCCTCATCTCTGAGAATGTTACAAGCCATCTTTATTGCCAAAACCAGCAAGTACACAGAGTCCTGAGACAAGGCAGAACTTGTGGCAGTGCCTTGGCCTCCTGGAAGCATGTCTGAGCCCTCCTGTTCCCAGGGATCATATGAAACAAGCCCTCCTGAGCTGCTGCAGTTCCTGCCTGACCTCGCTCCTTTGCAGTTGTCATTTGTCCTTTCTTGGCATGGGTGCTGACCTCACCTGTCCTTGGGGTCTGGGATCTGGCAGCAAGATCTCTACACCCTAGGATCCTCCATGCCATATGGTCACTGCTCTCCTCAGGGACCAGGACAAGGTGCTGCTGCTTGCCCCAATTTTTTCCCATGGGATATGTACAGGAAAGCTTAGTTATCACCCTGGGAAACATGATGCTGCCCCTTGGGCCCGGATATGGGTTTCCAGCTGGGGGCATGTGGGTTGGTTCTGCTGTTTTTGGCAGTTTTTCCTCATCTGGATTTTGCATTCTCCCCTCCGGCAGCCCTCCAGAGATTGATGCTGGAGATTGAGTTGATTGTCTTGGCTAGATCTATCATTTTAAGCTCTAGTCACAGCACTTTTTCAGAGCATCCTAGGCACCATTGCAGCCCATCTGGGGCAGCTGCGTTCAGAATCTTTGTTTAACAAAATCCTTTGGTACTGTTGTGGTTTTCTATTCTTCCATTATTCTGTGTGTCTCCTAATTCTATTCAAAATTATCTTTGCTCTTTTTGGCTTTCCTTTCACCTTTTCTCTAATCCTGCTTTGGTACTAGCCAGTGTGGGAAAAATGAACACTGTGTCAGAGAGCAGGGAGGGTTTGCTATTTGGGGGGGGGGGGCAATTTTCTATTCATGTTTCTTTTTTGGCCAGTTATTTTATTTATGCTCTTATGGCCCAGGTACTTGGGAGCCAGCTACCCTTCTGGCCATTTGGGGTCTTTGAAGAAGACCAGGTATCAAGTGAACAGTCAGGAGAGTGTTGGCACGTTTCTGGAAATTCAGCAGATGACCAAGCACATTCATCAGGCCAGGTGAAAGGGCCAGACAGTTGTAGCTGATGATGTAAATATTGTGTAAATAAATAAATGTTTAAAAGAAGAACCAAGAAGCAAGTGGCTGCTTAAGTGGAGATTCACAGCTTAAATTGAAGGTGGGGGAGGGGGAAAGTTTTAAAATGTTTTTGGATTCCCTAAGACAGCGGTTCTCAGCCTGTGGGTCGCTACACCTTTTAACTGTACTAAAGGTTCGCGGCATTAGGAAGGTTGAGAACCACTGCCCTAGGAGTTCCTCCAGACTATTACTGGTCAGCTCAGAGTAGAGCAGACACCTGGAGACTTGGCCTGTTCCATCTTTGCTCTTTCACTCTTCTCTGATTCCCATGGTATCAGTCAGGGACACTATGCTCTACCACCCAGACAGCCATAAGGTGGGGATGGCAGGGGGACAAGTGTTTGTGCTCAGCTCCTGAATAAAAAACTAGTTTGGCAAGAGCAGAGGATAATTTTTCTTACCAGTCTTTCAACATTGGTTTGTTGTTTTACTACCTAAGAAATTCAATATAGGAAATTTGGAATTAATGGGTCGGGCATGGTGGCTAACACCTGTAATCCTCCGACTTTGGAAGCCTGAAGCGGAGGATTACTAGAGGCCTGGAGTTCGAGATGAGCCTGAGCAAGAGTGAGACCCCATTTCTATAAAAATGAGAAAAAGTAGCTAGGCACGGCGGTGGGTACCTGTAGTCCCAGCTACTCATGAGGCTGAATCAAGAGGATTTCATGAGCCCAGGAGTTTGGGATTGCTGTGAGCTATGATAACACCATTACACTCTAGCCCAGGCAACAGAGCAAGACCCTGTCTCAAAGAAACAAAAAAACAATAAAATTCTATCCTAATTGTACATTTTTAGGTTACTTATGGTCCTACATCTTTTATACTTGCTGCTGTTGGGGCTTTGAATAGGGTACTATATATATTAATCATTGATTTCAGCCCATCATGAAGTCCTTCTTAAGACTCAAGAGGATGGTTAGATTGTCCTTCAATCTGTACATGAAATACTACCTTCAGCCTCTTGTACACTGAAGTATATACTCAGTATTGCTTCTGAGCCATTGCAGAAGGAGCTCTCAACACTCTGTCCAGCCAGTCTTCTTCTAGGGCCTTGGTAGAGGTTCTCCAGTAAGTGGCTTTAATCCTAAGGACTCCTTCCCTCTACTTTGGCTTAACTTAGACCTTTGAGTGTAATAGACTAGTTCCAGACCCCTTGTAATATTTTTATTACAAGATTCTAAAATTCCCCTTTTATTTTGGGATGTAACATGTACAAAAGTATATATATAAAGCATGTACTGGATGGGCACTGAAGAGCCCATCCCTCTGCAATAACTATTACCCTAACTTCTATGGTAATTATTTCAACAATCCCCTTTTCAATTAACAGTGGCAAGGGGGGAAATTTCCCCATACAGTCTCTTGATAAGATTATAACCAAGACTAGTTTCTCCATAGTAATAACTAGACCTCACAATTAGTTTGAAAAGTTTTCTGAGACCAGCGTTGTCCCATGAGAATCTGGTCTAGAGCAAGGTAGGTTTTGTTTTCTATGTTTTACACAAGATACAGTTGAGGAACAGAGAGGATGAGTAACTGCCAAGGTTCCTTAGCTAGTATGTGGTAGAACACGTTCCTTAGCTGTATTGGAACATGGGTCTGTTTCGTGTCAAAGCCCAAACTCCACATTTCTGGTTTGTCTCCAGCAGATTAGACAAACAGCCCAGACATTGGGCCACCATGCTTGCTGACTGCATAGTGTTTGCTTGGTAATGCTGTGTGTGACAGATGAGTACTTTCATCTCTTGGTTTACCTGTCACTTGGGGATTTGGAACCTACGGGGAGAAGCTCCTACCCTTCCAGGGTAGAAAGGTTTTAAGAGATGCAGGTATTAGTCGTGGCTTTAAAATCTTGCATGTAGAAAGTTCTAAAGAGGGCAGTGCCTATGGCTCAGTGAGTAGGGTGCCTCAGTATATACCGAGGATGGTAGGTTTGAACCCAGCCCCGGCCAAACTGCAACAAAAAAATAGCTGGGCATTGTGGTGGGCAGTTCCTGCTACTTGGGAGGCTGAGGCAAGAGAATTGCTTAAGCCCAAGAGTTGGAGGTTGCTGTAAGTTGTGATGCCACAGCACTCTCCTGAGCGTGACAAAGTGAGACTCCAAAAAAAAAGAAAGTTCCACAGAATACCAACTAATGACTTGAGTGAAGTGATTTCCAAGTTTAATAAACTCTAAAGAGTACAAGTCATCCTTGAGAATATAACTGAGGGATTAAAATCCTGAGATTTTAATATCCCCACTTTGGTGCAAGATCCATAGTTTGCAGGCAGATGAAGCGATTAGAATGAGGACAGACACCCTGCACAGTTCCTTGACATTTGTATCTGCTAACTGTCTGCAGAAAGAAGCTTATTCGAATAAATCTTTTGTTTCTAAACTCTGTTAACATGAAACAGCACCATTTGGCAAAGGCCAAATTCCTGGTGGATATCTCACTGAGGAAGCAAACATTTTCAAGAATGCCAAAGTTAAAGGGAGACACACGCCCAAACCTATTCTATTGATGAAACTATTAGCATAGTATTTTATTCAGGGTGAGGAGTTTCTGTACCTCCCTTGGATGAAATCACTGTTTCTACAACCCCCACGTCACCTGCCTTACGGATTTGCACATGAAGGAATCTTTCTGAATCTTCCTATCATGTGAAGACCAGCAATGTTCTCGCCTAAGAACTCCCACATGAAGGAGTTGCCGAGACATTCCTCTTTGCCTATTAGCGGAGTCAGGGATATCAGAGAACTTGTGAGCCAGTGGAAGAGGCTTTGATAGTTTTTATGTTATGTTGAAAACAAAATGTGTTATTGTGTAAGGAGAAGATGTGTATGTCAACACTTTGTGCTAGGTCTCCTAAGCCCAGTCCTACCCCAAGTTGTCATTTCATTTCCTATAAATGTACCTCCCTCTCCAACTTGGGTGTTTCTGTTCCATCTCTGGATTTGTGGCCTTCCTTTTTCCTTTAGTTCTGGGCATCTCCACATTTCAGCAGACATTTCCTGTGTATATGGCACTGTGCAGGGAGCTAGGGACATGCAAGGCAGAATGTGACCCCTGCCTCTGAGCAGCTCACAGTCTTGCTGGGAGACAGACATATAAACAATCCATTTTCCTTAGAGTTTCCTTCCTCTGAGGGTTGGACACTCAAAGCCATCACCACTGCCCACCCCCATGGTTTCTAGTGTTTAACAGGGAGGAAGAGGAATTTCTGTTTTTGTATTTGGAGACTTTCCATATTATAGAGTAACGGCTGCAAACAAAATTTGTCTAGCTCCCTACACAAAGGGAGGGAAATTACTCTCCCTGTTGAAATTACTCTTCTCTCTTTCAGAGAAGGAAGAACCCTGTATCGATAGATTCCAAACCAACAGACCCAAGGAGTAAGCTCCTTGTGCCATAACTAGGCTATCATTTAGGCAGGTCCCAGGACAGGCTGGGAAAGGGGACTCAGTGATCTTAGGGCCCACTCTCCCTTTAGTCTGCTCTCCCAGTCAAAGCAGACCTGAGGTGTTGACTTTGGCAGTGGGAGAGACTGGCTAGTAGCCTACAGCTTAGTGAATGAAATGAAAATCGTGAGTGTATGGGGAGGGGAAGTTGCCTCCAACACTAATAGCAATCAGAAGGGTTTGTACTATGGTCAGAATAATCAGGGAGTGACAGAGGAACATCAAAGAAAAGCCATTTCTATTGACCCCAGAGGCACCAAGAAGCAAATCAACTTCAAAAAATGGCCAGGCAGTTGGTTGCTTGTGACCACTAGGGGTAGAAACACTGAGCTTTGGTTTAATTCCCTTAATGTTAGGCCCAGGAAACTGGAATCGTTCTCATTCTGTTCTGTCGTTCTCTCTCTCTCTCTCTCTGTGTGTGTGTGTGTAGGTGCATGAGCATATTGCAGCTGAAACCTATTCCTCAGGAGTTTGGGTAGACCTTAAACTTGATTCCCCAGGCTTTTGACTTTGATGACAAATGGGTGGAGCTTGGGCCAGGCCATTACCTTTAGAAAAACCAGCTCTTCCCATAGGCTCCCTTTCCCAAAGAGATTTCTCCTCTGAAACTTTGTCCATGATGATGCCAACTTGGGTTTCCTTGAAAAGTCAAAGCAGTGGAATTAAACTTGGGTGTTTTCTAGATCTAGCATTTGATACCACAGTCTAGGTATACAAATGTGTTGTTGGATCCTGGCAGGCTCATGTGTGCAGCTCTGAAGGTGGGTGCAGGTCAACAGCCAACCATCAGCATGCTCCACAGTGGTTCTAGTTTCAACAGTTCTGACCTGTTACTTAAACCTTGAAGATTCTATTGTCCTGGCATCCAGGCCATGTCTTACGGATAGGACTCTCACACCCGGAATAAGCACACTTTTTTTTGTCAGACCATATCATGAGTTTTGGCTCCAAAAATGTCATTGTGGGTTAGCTATCAGGGGAATAAAGAGCAAAACTCCAGTCCTGACTTTTGGGGGTAAGTTTGGGCTTAGGGTCTTGGTGTGGTGGGAAGAAGGAGCCAAGATAGTGGTTGGCACAGAATATGAGGAACTTTGTAAGCAGAGCCAGAGACTTGGAGGATTGAAGGCCAGGAAAGTTTGGCACAAGTTACAGCTGGGTATTTAACCAGGAACAGTCACTCTATTTTTCTCAGCCTTGGCAGTAGGTCAGAGCAATAAGCAATTCTTGCAGGGTCCACATCCTTCCTATTGTCTCCACCCCAGCCTTGTCTCAAAACATCT